AGAGAAAAGAAACCAAATTATTTTTGTGAAAACAACTAGGAACATATTAGTTTGAACAAAATACAGCCAGTTTTCTAAAGTATGAAAATCAAGTCATTTTTTTCTTGAATTTCTGTATCGCAAAGGAAGCAGCAGTTCTATGAATGGTTTGATCCACATTTAAAATTGTATCATGGTTTTCCTCTGCTCTCACTGTTTACTGATAGTTGCCTCAAAACTGACCTGAGGGTCCGGCAGCATGAATCCATCAGTAAGCTTATAGTAGACTATTGTAGAATCGGACTCCACTATGGCCAGAGTAAAAGACATTGGCAAGTCTGGATCACCTTGCAATTTTTGAGATGCTTTCAGGATCTCCCTTATGCTGAAAATAAAGTCACAGTACATTTAGGATTTACAGTCACTCAGTTAATAATAAGATCAAATACTGTAAAATCTTGGGGAAGAGGTAGGCAATAACATTACATCTTAAGGCTAACTAAGGAAATGTCTGAAGGCTCAAATATAAAATAAACATTTAAAGTTGTCCAGAAAATCCTGCAGACAAGGTCTACCTACTGACTCTCAGTCCTTTTCTTTTATATCACCCATCTCTCCTCATTACCATACCTGAGAAAATCAAACTGTACTTAGGAACCTACATAATCAGACACTAATAGTGGTTAGTGCAACTCAATCAGCTAAGAGTCCTGGGCATTCATTTTCCAATTTAGTGTCTTAAGAGTGGAACAATTTGGTATTCAGGCTTGCTTTAAAAAAAAAAAATTAGACCATAATAAACATTTCCCCCATGTTTCTACACGGTGTTTGTAATTACTACCTTTAAATGGCTATATAATATCCTACAGACTCATAATTTACCCAACCATTCCTTTATTGCCATCAAGTTCTTTCAGGTTTTTTGGGGGAAAGAGCATTAATAAAGATGAGCTGCGATGATGATCTTTTTGGCAAGTAGTTGTTTCTTTTTAAATATTTCTGTTTGGTCTTTCCAAATAGCAGAGTTATTAGATATAAATATATCAGAATTATTTTTATGGTTCTCAGTATGTATTGATACTTAATAAAAGCTAAGACAAAAATACAGAGAGAAATAAAACAGTAAAATTATATATCAAGCATCAATATTATAAAGGATTTCAGTTTGCTGTCTGTGGAAAATAATCTGGCAAATCTAGTATCTAGGTTTTCAAAGCACTATTAACTTGTTTACCACAAACTGAAAATTCTTATACCTACTCAGTAAAGCATGTGCTCAATAATTTCATAAAATGTAACCTCCAGCGGAGCTCTCTTAAAAAGGCAAATAAAAAATGATCAGTTGTTTTTTCATTAAACTAACCAATTCTCCAGAAATTGGAAAAAGATTTGCTAGAGTATTAACATGATACAACAGAATACACTAATAACTCAATACTATACTCTCTTTAGCAAAAGTATAATTTTCCCCGTAAGTACTACCTTCCTATCCCTAAAAATTCTTATGGTTACTCTTTATCTGTTCTATTAGTTATTGAATGTATAAAGAATCTAAAAAGAAAAGTCTCTGCTTTAAAATATTCTTGTTATAATTATGATGCTTTTTAAAATCTGTAGTAGACAGTGGAAATTTTAAAGTGATTTAAAACAGCAATGAACTTCTAGAAATGCTGAAACTAAACTGCTCTTGCTAAAATAGCACTTAATCACTGTGTAATATGTTGCAGAGTGATAACTGCACAGATAGTCACAAAAGCCTGCTTACCCACGATCATTTCAATTCGCACAGCATGTGATAATACTAGAACAGAATGAGTTTGTAAGAATGTAGCCTAACTGTCAGGCAACATTTACTGGATAAAACCTGTTTACCTGACAAAATCTTGATTTCTTTCTGAGAATGAGTCTTTTTGAGTGGTGGTTATACAGGTTTCCCCTGCTATCTGAAAGTAGGGTGTTCCTATGAAATCTTTTGTAAGCCAAAAATAGCATAAAGTAAATAGCATAAAGAAATGACCATTTGCGTGGACAATTTTTTTAGCATTCCCAGACCCGAAGAATAACCTCTTAGGTTATTAAGTATCCCTTGTTTGATACCTTAGGACACATCTTGCTAATGGATGCACAAATGAATGGAGAAAATTAAGTACAGATGCTCACAAACAATGCAAAGCTACAGCAGCTTGATCCTGAGATGCTGAGTGTAGTTTCCAGCAAAGAAACTTGGCGAGGCCGCTCTCGCTGCTTGGGGTGCAAGCTGCCTCTCTAATAGCTCATTGCAAAACAGATGCTGAGTGCTATTTTTGCTTCACTTTTTTTCATAAAAGCGAAAATCCTTTCTAGATTTCTTCCAGTTAGCGAAAACAGGTACCAATGTAGGTCCTCCCTAAAAGCAAAGTGGTATCATGTGAACTTTCAGAAAGCAGGGAATACTCTTTGCTTTATGCCATTTTACTTACAAAGGGTTTTCTACTTTTGGATGGCAGGGGAAACCAGTATAAATTTTAAAATATATTTCTGACAAACATTTTTCTGAAATTTATTATGCAATGCTATTATACTGAATAAAAGTTCAACCTGTCTTGACAGCTCAAGATCATCATTTTTGGTATTTATTATTGTACATACAGTGGTAGATGATGCACTCTAGAATTTAATTTATTTGAAGTATCTGATATTTGCGTGCTTTTTGTTCGTCAAAACATTCAAATTGTTTTATCACGTCTCTATACTAGGGAGCAGCGAACTACGGTCACTTGTTTTTTTTTATGCCCATGAGCTAACAGTCTTTACATCTTTAAATGGTACATTTTAAATGGTCACAGAAGTATCTATGTAATAACTTCAACTTTGCCACTTTGTCCACAAAGCCTTAAATACTTATTATCTGGCTCCTTAAAAAAAGGTTTGCTGGCCCCTACTCTACACCAAGAATGTGAGTAAGAATAAGAATCGTAAGACATGATCAACAAGGCAGTGTACTTTATTTCAGTATTATCTATTTAAAAGTAAGAGTAGGAGGACATTCTACTTCTAACTAGGACGTAGAAGATCTCAAAAGACCACCACTCCTACTATAACAGAGAAAACACTTGATTTACTCAAAAATATTACATTTCTCTTTAAAGCCATAAGAGATGTACACAAAAATAAGTTTAAAATAATTAAATTCCAGTGGGAAATGAGCCCTTCTCAGGTAAGTAGAGACCAAGACAAAGCCATTTCCATCTCGGAGGGCAATTGCTAAGCCTGGCAGAGTGGCTAAAGGAATGAGGTAGTCATGGGCAAGCAACTTCACTGGGACAAAAAGAAACCGTCTATTCTTGTAATAGCCACACATGAACGGGCATGTTGGATTGGATCTGGAGGAACACGGACCCCTCCAGCTCACCAATTCTCCCTCACAGGACTTTTGCTGCATTTAAGTGGACAAGGGACTGGAAACCAAGCATACAGGCTCTCAGCTCAAAGAGAGAGGTCTGATCCTACTCTGAAAACATGTGAAACCAGAAGAGAATTGAAATAACTGAAGTTGCAATTCAGCTGTGAACCGTCTTGACTTCTGGTTAGATTGATTAAATTAGGTCCTGACCCTACTTGCCAGGTAGAGGAAAAGATGAGCTCTTTGGGGGAAGGAAGGGGCATAAACATCAGTCTCTTATTTATTCACAATGTCTGCATATAGTGAAATATTCTAAGCTATGTAAAGAACCAGCAAAATGTATCTAATCATCAAGAACAAAATGTCAGTATAAGAAGATCTTCGGAAAGCCAAGGTTGTTGAAGGACTCAGATGCTGGGATCAACAGCTAAGGACCTAAAATACCATTATAAATAGAGTATTGAGAGAAATAAAAGAGAAATGGTGGCAAGATGAAAAATTAAAGTAGAAAACTGGGAATACTAAAGAAAACATACATTCTAGACTTAAAAATACATGCATTTCCTAAGTATTGGATAGACTTAATGGTAAACTAGACAGCATAAGAAAGGATTTAGTAAATTTGAAAACAGGTCACAAGAAACTCAACTGAAATACAAAGAGAAAAAAAATAAATGGAATTTGGTACAGCATCAGTCTAACATACGTGTACAAGTAACTACAGAAGGAAAGGAAAGAGAGAATGGTGCATGTCTTAGGCCATTCAGGCTGCTATCACAAACTAGGTAACTTATAACAACAGAAATTTTAATTAATTTAGATTTAATTAATTAATTAATTTTAATATTGTTAGACTTATATCTGCCATTTTGCTATCTGTGTTCTATATATCATGTGCCTTTTCGTGTTCCTGTTTCTTTGCCACCTCATTTGTATTAAACAGATATGTTCTAGTATACCATTTTATTTTATTTTTTTTTGCTATACCTTTTTTAGTTTCTTAGTGGTGGTTCTTCAGATTACAATATGCATCTTAATTTATCACAATTAACCTGAGAGTAATAGTAACTCAATTCTAACAAAATATAGAAACTGCTCCAATATAGCATTGCTCCTCTATCCCTCTTTGTTCTATTATTGTCATATATATTACATCTGCAAATTATAAACTCAATAATGTAGTCCTATATTGTCTTATTTGTTCTTGTTCTTTTAAAAAGTTAACAGAAAAAATGATAAAAAATATATTAACCTACATATTTAATATTTCTGGTACTTTTCATTCGTTCATTACTCTTTGAGGTCTTTTCTTGCTTCTACACAGTCCCATTCCCTCTCCCATCCTTCACATCAACATTGTTACACATGTTACTTCTTAATATGCTATAAGCCTGGTAGTTGGTTTTTGATAATAGTACAAAAGGCAATTCAATGGAGAAAGTCTTTTCAACAAATGGTGTGGTAATATGAAGACAGTGTATCTCAATATCTACACATAATATTACTTATTACTATAAAGATTAATGAGGTGGCACATATAAAAGCTTTGCAAAATGTCAACTCATCAATGAATACAAGTATTATACAGCTCCTGTATCAGCTTTGCTACCTTGCATATTGGGGACGTACTGTTTATATCCATCCCCTCCCCTTAAAAAATAACTTCCAGTTATGTTGAATTGCATAGCAATTAGCTAGATTCTTGTTCATATCAGAGATTTATTTTAGAGATATTTAGATGAAGCAACCATAGATATTAAGCAGAAACCTCACTATTCAGCACTGATGGTAAGTGACACACTGAAGCCACTGCAATACACACAATTTAAAAATAAGTCTCTTTAAAACCATCTCTAACTAGTAAGAGTATGACAAGGATGGGAAGCAGATGGAAGGGAAAAAACTGTTAAGACAACTTTACATCATCTCTATTTCTCTAGACATGATATTGTTTAAATCAGACGTGTATGTATGTGGTTTTTCCTAAGGTAAACTCTGGGCAT